ATTATTGTACCCATTTCACGCATGATGAGGGCAGAGAGCTTAAATGACTTGCCCCAGGTCACACAGTAAGAATCAACATTGGAACTCAGGTGTCTCCTTGATAACTTGGATTTTCTTTCCTTTGGTCAGGATCCCCATCCTTGTTTGCATCTGCCTTTTCTTAGCACTGATGATTTAGATCACTATTATAAAAATATTCCAAGGGGAGGGTATTGCTCAGTGGTAGAGCACATGCTCAGCATGCACAGGGTCCTGGGTTCAGTCCCCAGTACCTCCACTGAATAAATAAATAAAACTAATCACCCCTACAAAAATTAAAAACAAAGATATTCCAGGTGGAGCTTAAAAAAAATGTCCAGGCCAAGGACTTTCAAGTGGTTTTCATGATGGGTCATGAGATCAGAAAGCCCTTTTCATGGTTTTATCCAATTTATGGTGTCATGGTTACTGGAGCTCAGAATGTATTCAGCCTTTATCCCTTCTTCTGATTAAGCTTCCAGAAATGGTTAAAATGGGCCTTGTAAGCTGGTTTACTTAGTGGAAATGGATGATAATGTGAGGTAGACTATATTATTAAAAACATGGGAGCTTTTTGAAAGGAAAATTAGTTTTATTTGATCAGATCAGTAACAGGCCAAGTTCCAGGCGCTGAACCATTTAAATTGTATCAACAAGACTGGTGTTAACGGCCTGGAGGATTCTGGGTACCTGGGGAGGACGGCCAGCCAGGATATACCTCCATTCTCCCCTGATAGCAGCTCAAATGTTAGCAATTAATACAGAAGACTGTCCCCCCACAGAACTCAGTGGACCCAAACATTGCTCCCCAATTGGCCACACAGCCAGAATTTCCAGGAGTGCTTGGGGCCACACACAGACAAGGATTCCTGCCTACCTGGCCTGTCCACTCAATTCTAGGCCTGTTCCCTCCCACTTACCTCTTCCTTTTCTTTCTAGTTTCAGGGACGGTCCTTTTTCCTGGCCTGACCTTTTGGTTGAGACCAGTATCTCTCTTCTGCCTGATAAGCTGGCAGCCACAAGGAAGCTTCCCCACTCACCTCCCCAACGTCCGATCCGAGAAAACAGCACACTGCCTGGCCTTAGAGGGTCTCCGGGGGCTCTCCTCTGCTGGTGCAGTAGACATCTGGTGGGCTCACGTTGATTTCCCTTCTGTGAGAATGCCCTGTGCCTCTCACTGCTTAAGAAGCACGGGTCCAGAGAAACCCCCAGGCAGAGCGACACAGGTGCTGAGTGTGGGAAGCAGGCGGGCGTGCACGCAGATGCTAAGGATCAGAGGGATGGTGCCAGGCACACCACCATCTGCTACAGCTGACTCCTGTTTATGTCCCTAGAGCTGTCCTGGCTGTCACCCTCACTCAGACTTGGCTGAAATCCTTTTTCTTTCAATCTGTGGAATACTTCAGAGGGATGCCAATAAGCTTCTTTTTAAAAAATTGTACGTGTATTTTATGATGATAATGGTTATACTATGGTTGTCATTACTATTACTTAGTTGGTTGCATTGTGGTTAACTAAAAGAACCTCTCCCAGTGGAGCTAGCTGAGTAACACATGGGCGGGAAATAACTAGGTCCATTTGAAGCGGGTCCAAGTGACAGTCACTCTGGGGTGACATGTACTAACGCTGCCTGCCTGTGTGGCAAACTCATTCAGACTCTTCGTCACCGACTATGGAGAGTGAAGAAAAACAAAACAAAACAAACAAAAAAATAGGTATGAACATGATTAACCTTCAAAGGTAGATAATAAACTGGAAAAAATACACTTGTCACTAATTTGATATTCAGTGATATCTCTGATCTATAAAAATAAACAAAGAATGAAAATCCCAAAAGGAAATTAATGTTCAAATAGCCAATTAATATGTGAAAAAATCTGTTAATAAAGAAAAACAAGTTAAAATGGCAGGCTTCCCCCAACCACCAAAAAATCAACTGAGAAAGTTTTACCAAAATGATAAAGCCAATCGTTAGTGCAAATGTTGAAGATGGTTTCGCCTGCCTTTTGAGACTGCCCGCATTCCACGGAGCACCTGCTTTTGCTTTAACCACCCTCGCCGTGCCTTGCGGCCTCTTTGGCTTTCTGAGATGGCCTGCACACTGTCTATGAAGTCTGTGTCTCTCTGAATGAATCTACCTTTACTCAACTGTGGCTCACTCTTGAATTCTTTCCTGTGTGAAGCCAAGGACCCTCGCTGGTGGGGACTTGCCTGAGATTGGTGACATGGCCACCCTCTCTCGCCCCTTTACCCCTGTTTTCCTACTAAGCCCTCTTGGCTTGTCTTTCATCTCAGGGCTTCCTTCCATGTGTCTCCATGGTGGAAGCCCTCAGCCCACATGGATGTCACAGCTTACAAACCAACAGAGGTCTTCCCAACAGCCCCAGCCGAAATCCTGCGGACTGACAGGTCTGGTCGGGGTCATGTGCCTCCCCCCCGGACAGGGCCAGCCTCCGGAGAACATGGAGGACTACAACAGAAGGGAGAAAAAGCAGTTTTTCAGAGGAAGGGATGCTGGGTAGACCCCTGCATGTCCACACTGCAGACTGAGGCTCAAAGTGAAAACCAGGTAATGGAATTCCTGCTACATGCCAGGTGTTTGCAAGGCACTGGGGAGCTACTAAGACATGGTTGTAGCCCCTAATCAACTGGGAGAGCACAAACAGAAGGAAAATGGCCACAAAGAGTAACTGGAGTCCAAGAAGAAGGGAATGACTGATCAGGAGGTAAGCAGGAACCATATCTGGAAGGCCTGACAAGCCCAGATAAGTAGTAGTGAATGATAATCGCCGCTGTTTGAACATGCCAGGCACTAGGCTAACTGCTCAGTATATATTTATCTTCACTCTGGTATCTGTGTGTCACAGATGAGGAAACTGATACTTAGAACAATGAAAAAATTTGCCCGGGGCGCAGAGTGATGGAGCCAGGAATGGATAGTCTATAAACACCCTGGACTTAACCTCATTGCTAAGGGGAGGCCAGCAAAGGTCATAGTCAAATTGATCTTTCTTCCCCACAAGCAATTCACATTGAAAATTAAATTTCTTGGCTGGAAGCAATCTGATATCTTGTATCTATCATTAAGGTGAACAGTACAGGCATTTAAGAACTTATTTAATGGGCCCCAGCAATGAAGATGTGGCCATTAAATACTGGATTTTTTCCAACCTGCTTTTAGATATTATCAATGTGGTCTGCAAGGAGTGCATTTAAAATATCAGGGAAGAGGAGCTGAAAGGATTTCATATCCAAACACAAAGGCCCTAAAACCACCAAAGGGGAAACCGATCTGACCTGAACATACTACATATGGAAACCCTGGAATGGCTGTGATGCTCTGGGGAATATTCAGTTACAAGAGAGACCCAGCGCTGACCTTTTTGCAAGGGGACAGTCAACAGAAGATTGCATTTGATAGGAGGATTCACTTCCTGTTAACAAGGCTTCTAACCCTTTATAAGAGAGAGGAGGGAGGGCAAAGACTCCAGCTGTCTTTGAAGAGACTAACCCTGGTTCTTTAGGAGTCTGAAAAGAAAAAGAAAAAGAAAAAAAAAAAAAAGCAAACCGGGAAAAAGGAGGTATTGTGGAGGAAGGCCATATGATCCACCCAGCTGTGAAATCCTTTGCTCCAAACGGTTTGCTAGAAAGACTGAGGAAATGACAGAAATATGTCTGTAGAAACTTGACATTCTTTTCTTGAATATTACATTTCTTCTGCAAATACTCACAACATATAGAAGATATTAAAAGTGCCTAATAATTCAAATTTTACTTCCTGCATGGCTTTCTGGACTATCCATCCGTGTATTCAAGCCACTCTCCCTGGTCCCCAGACACCCCAGCAGGATGAACGGATGCCCTTTGTTCTGTGCTCCCAGAACCCCATTTACAGTGTCTCTGTTACAGCATTGGATTGAAATTGTCTTCTCCTCTAGATTCTAACATACTTCTGTCCTCGGCACTTTAGCAGATGCAGTTGCTCAGAGAATGTTTGTTGACTGAGCTAATGAAACACTTCTGTAGATTTCTAAACTCTGCTCTATACTGTAGTAAGTCTCTGTGGTCATCTTCCGCCCAGGAGCTCCTCAAGTGCAACGTCAGGTCTTATTCTTACCTCCACTGCCTAGCATGTGCCTAACAGTTTCTAGCAGATAGTAGGTGCTCAGCAAACGTTTGAATGGTTAAGCACGAAATTTCTCAACACACGACACAGTGATAAGGCAGGAGAGCAGGAAACAGGATTATTGACGGAAAGTAATTTGTTAATCAGTGACAGTCTTTTTCAGTCTATGAGCGTGAGCGATGGGAAAATGGCGGTTCTCCAGTAAAGTATAAATTTAGCTCCCACATTCTCAGCTGGGGGCAATTTCTCACAAGTCCTAAGAAGGGAGCTCACACAAACCACATATCGGTGCTTCATATCTAAACCCCAGAACAAACCCATGAGGCAAGTAAAATCCTTGTTTTGCATAAGATGAAACAGGCCCCGAGAGGTTTATTTTTTGCCCAAGGGCACCCAAGCAATCAGTGCCAGGCCCAGGCTCCCCGGCCCAGCGGTCCTTTCCTCCTCCTGGGACCTCCTCCTCCGACCCTTTCAAGTCTAACTAGGCGACTCCTGAGGAGGAGGAGGCGGAGGAGGAAAGAAACTGGGGGCTGAGATGCTCTGGGCACAGGGGAGCCAGGGACAGTTCCATACGTAGAGAGCAAAGGGAACCAGGCGACACCGGAGGGCCGCGCAGCCCCGCCCGCGCGCACTGGCCGGCATCGGTAAGCTCGGTCCTTCTGGGCTTCCGTAGTCGGAACACACGGGACATCTTTGCCAGGGAAAGATCCGTATTTTGAGATTCAAATCGTTCGTGAATTTGAGCACTGAGATGGCGAAGCCACCCTCGCCCTACATTCGCACCAACTAAAACCACGAAGGCAACATAGTCTCCACCCTTCACGTAAGAAAGCCCTTCCCTCCGCCGGGAACGGATATCGGAAGTTCCGGTGTATTTGACGTCACTTCCGCCCGTCTCTGGGCGGTGCCAAGATGGACGGGCTTCGGGCTCGGGAGCAGCTCCGGCGGAGATACCTGTTCCTGCCTGACGCGGAAGTCCCGCCAGACCACCAGGGCTCCACCGGGCCAGGTGAGGCGTTCCCCGGGCGCGCTCCGAGCGGCGCCGAGGTTCCCGGAGGCGAGGCACTCGGACACGGCTCGTCCCGCGGGCCTCCCGCAGCCCTGCCCAGTCAGGAGGGACCGGGTTTCGTTTTTTCCAGGCTTACCAAGTAGTTTTGGAAGTCGGGTATTTAGTGTCGTAAAAGATCCTTGGAGGTCACGTAGCCCTGCGTATCTTCATCTCAGCTGCGCTTCAGGAGTCCCAGGAGAGCTGATTTAACACCAATTTGGCAATATCCATTAAAATAAAAAATACCCACCAGTTGTAGCTCTAAGAATCTACCAAAGAAGCATACTTGTAGCCGTACACAAGGACGTGTGTGCAGTGCTTCGTCTCAGCATTGCCTGTAATAGCGAACGACTAGACACATCTAATTGCCCATCAGCAGAGAGCTGGTTTAGTACATTTTGATGTATCTACATGACACAGCAGGCCGACTTTTACGTACCAATGTGGATGATTTTAAAAGGGAGGCCCAGAGCAAAGTATGGCGTGCTACCGTTTGGGTACAAACCAGATAACGTGTAATGTGTGTTCACCTATAGATACATAGAGTGTGCAAAAGTTCATAGAAGTTGTTGCTGGTAGTTACTTTGGGGCTGGGGGACTGGGGTTAAGGATAGGAGAGAGAGGTTTCATTTTAGATCTTTCTTTCCTGTGTGTTGTAAACCTTCTGTATTTACTACCTTTTGAAAATGAACACAGAATACATCATGTCCAGGCACGCTGGTTTATAAATTTTGATGGTGTCTCCCAGAATTTGTATTACGCTTCCCAGGAATTATGATGGTCAGCTATAGGTTGAGCACCTCAGATGCATATCAGTGATTCTCACATGAACTAAGAGAAAGGGCATTTCAGTCACCTGGGGAGCTTTTCTTTCAGATTGGGCCTATTAAATGCACAGACTGAGCCTGTTCTTTCAGAGTGGGTCCCAAATGGAAGGAATTTGACTTGTTCATCACCTGTCTTGACAGGGCTGTGCTGGGACTAGACCTCCAGTGTACCCTTTTCGCTTTTGAGCTGCCTCAAAAGGTTATATTTGTTTAAAATAATTAAAGTATGTAGTTGTAAGTAGTAGTTTTGGAAAATCCCAAGTCCATTTTGTGTTCTAATGTTTGCTATTTACATTTCTCTTAACAGGACTAATCACTTTCCTTGGTGATATATGAAACATAACATTAAAATTCCTTTACTGCCCGAGGGCATTATTCTTTCCAAAAGCCTGTATAAGTAAATTTGACTCCACAGTTCATTTAGAGGAAGAAAAGTTGACTGTATTGAACATGTTTTACAGTAGGCTCCTATTATTTCTAGAAATATAAACTTATTTTGATGGTTTTACAGAAGAAATTGGTACTATAGTGGGAGAGAGTCTGGTTCTTAGAAAGCTCTAGGAAATTATTTTATTTGACATAAAATAGGTGTAATTTTTTCCTATGAAGTTAATGGCTGTTTGATAAGCTGAAATCTCCCTTCTTTGCAGAAGCCTCTACAGCTGTTGAGAAAAAGGAGAAACCTCTTCCAAGAGTTAATATCCATTCTGGGTTCTGGATTGTGGCATCCATAGCTGTGACCTATTACGCTGATTTCCTTAAAACTGTGAAAGACAACTTTCACGCTAGCAGGTAAGAAAACTTTATTGCTTCATAAGTTAAACATGCTTGTTTTATTTTTCATGTTATGTTTTGTCCGTTGAGTTCCTCACTTGGTAAGCACCTGCTTTCTGCCAGTCACCATGTTGGAGGGACTGGTGATACAAAGCTGGAAAAGAGTGTGTGTGTCCTGGTCATGTACAACAGAGTGGATGAGACTGGAAATTATTTCAGTGGGCCTTTTCAGCATGAATGTTCTGTAGGGTGAGGAAGATAGTGAATTTAAGAAGGACCTAGTTCATTTGTAAACCATGGAGGGGGAAGGATTGACTGAAGGTCCTTAAGAAGATAAAGTACAGGAGTACGGAGAGGAAGGATGGAGAATTGTCGTGGGTGAGAATCAGGTCTCAGAGTTTGTTTTCAGAGTAGTTACAGCTACCAAGGTAACTACAGGTACAGGCATCACTGAATTAGAGTTGAGGTCACTGCTGGGAGTAGTTGGGAGCCTTGAGGCAGGATGTCTAATAGTCCATCATTCGTGAGGATTGAAATCTCTTGAGTACAATCCCAGGAGTTGACATGGAGGGGAAGGTTGTTAATCATACTTCAGAATCCTCACTGCACATTGAAGAGTGTTCTGGAGGCTGCTGGATAACAGAAAAAGAGGGAGAGATGTTGATGCAAGTCAGAGTTGGCATCTGAAGGGGTGGTTTGTTTAGAATGCAGGCGTAATTGTTTGGAAGTACTAGCAGCGCCTGGAAAATGCAGAAGGAACTGTGTGATCACAGTTTCTCCTCCAGGGGCCGTCAGGAGGAGCTGAGAGTCCTGGAGGGCAGGCTCGGGAGTGAGGGAGCAGGCAGTCAGGGGAAAGTAAGCGCAGGGGAGTTTATGTAAAGTGCTGGAGGGAGAAGCTTGTTCTCTCTTTCCTTGTTCCCACAAGCTGGAGCTTTCCGTAAACACTCCCATCTCCCGGCCCTTCCCCTCACTCGCTCCTTCTCTGGGAGGTTGTGGACTTCCTGACTGGGTTTGGAATGAAGACTCAGACGGGTAGCTCAGCTGTCTCTTCCTCTTGGGAGCCAGCTGCTCGCGGTCTGAGCAGATTCCAGGCTGCTCGGCTGTGCCGTAGCTTTGTGGGGCAGCCCTGATGTGAGACGTCTCTAGGTTTTCACGGTAACTGGGAACCCGGCGTGCAAGTCTGTCTATTTCTGGGTTTCAGGATGAGGAAGCACTTTGTCCTCGTTCACCAAAACCATCTTCTTTCCATAGCTCTGTCGGTAAAACAGCGGACAGTTGATCTTTATTAGCCTATTCCTTTCTCTCTCCCAGTTGGTCTAGAACTTGGGATGGGGAGTGAGGGAATGGTTACTTCATCACCACCCACAGCAGCTGCCCCTTCGTTCATTGAATATTTCAGGAGAGCCTGAGATGCGTACAGTTCTGGTGACAGAGGTGAACAAGGCACGTTTCTCACCCTCCAGCAGCTCATTTTAGGCTGTGATAGACAGGTGAATAGGTCACGGGTGCATACTGTGTAATGTATGTGCGGGATGCTGTGGGGGCACCTAGAAGGGGCGCCTAGTCCAGCCCAGCCTCAGGAGGTAGACCTTGTTGAGGCTTGGGGAGTGGTGAGAGGATTTATCTCTTTGTGTCCTTATATGCCCTCATCTATAAGGACATGAGTACCTGAGTAGTTTAAGGAAGTGGCGAGGTTCGGAAGACTTCATTGCACTGTAAGATGTTTGGGGCACCTGTGGTGCTAAGTGGCATGCCCAGGAGCTCACCGCTGGTGTGTGGCAGAGCCAGGACTCAGCGTCTGAACCAGGGCTGTGGGGCATGAAAAGGAAGTGGGGGCGGGAGGGCATAGCTCCATGGTATAGTGCATGCTTAGTATGCACAAGGTCCTGGGTTCAATCCCCAGTCCCTCCACTGAGAATAAATAACTAAACCTATTTACCCTCACCATCAAAAAAAAAAAGGAAAATGGAAATCATAGACCTGCCCTGCGGAGTGTCATCTTAGAGGAAAAGGGACTCAGTGCCTGCTCAGAGGCGGAGGAGTTTGAGGAGCATGTCTTCTTGCTGAGACCTAGGGAAGTGGGGAGTCACCGCAGCCCGGGCGTGAAAGCGCTGCCCCAGGCCGGCGGCGAGGCTGCCTCCCACCTTCTCAAAGACAGTTCATTCCTCTGATGCTGGAGGTCGCTTCCCTTTCACCCTGCTATTAGCCCAAGTTCGTAGGGTTCTTGAAATCTATGCAAGGCTGTAAGATTGTCCGGTTGCAGGCATCAGAATCAACTGTGGAGTTAAAACACATGCGCATACACACACACACACACACACACACACACACACACACACACACACACACACACACACACACACACACACACACACACA